CTAATAATATCCCCAGGCCAACAAGAGCCAGACACTTCACACACATTATTATGGGGCGACTTGTCAAACCTACAGTGTCAGAAACAGGGAAACCAGCTGACTGAGCTGCCACAGGGCTTTACTGATGACCAGGGAACCACCAGCTGGCCTTCTGGAATTAGATGTGACCTTTGTTTGGAGGGGCAATCTGACATGGCTGTGTGCTGCATTCCCACAACCCCTTCAGAACACGGAGACCAGGGGCTGTGAGCTCCATAGGTGAGACTCCTCAGGACTTCATAGCAAAAGAGCATCTCATCCAAGACAATCTGGCTCTTCAGAAAACAACTACCTTGCATAATTGCCTTAATAACTACCACCTGTCAAAACAAGCCTGATAGTAGCAACCAGTTTGGGTTAAAAAAAGGGCTGAAGGGAGAGGAGGGAGTTAATTTCATTCTTGATGTATGTACCCCCACTGACTCTGACCCCACTGTATAGACCGCTGACCCTGTGTTGCTATGATCCTTAATGCCAGATTAGCGTTTCCCTCTGCTAATTACTCTGATGAGCACCTAATAGATGTTTGTGATGCAGACAGTTTCCAGATGCACCCAATAAACATTATGAGATGCTAATGAGGGAACGTGGCATAAATGCTCATTTAAACTGCAATTTGAATTTTAAATTGTTTTCTTTTCTAATGTGTTTAAAATGGCAACACCACTGAGGTTAAGAAGAACACGGAGAGCTCTGGTTCCTTCTGAGCCGGTTCTGTACAGGTCTATAGGCAGCCCCCCACAAACAGACACCGCTGACGTATACTTCTGCCTGCAGCATCTGTGTCGGGCCCTGCGTGGCACACACAGCCAACATGCCAGATACTGTGTGGTACGTGATTTTTCTTGTCTGTGGTGAAGCCTCTGTATGCTCTCCTGAACGGCTGCACAGCTCTGAACACTGCACCACTGTTTGTGCTCAGATAGCACCACAAATGAGAAGCCGGGAGATGGGACTGTCAGTACTTTTCATCCGCTCTTGAACAGCATGGGCCAACACCGCCCTCTGCCCACCTCACCCCCTGGGCATCACAGATGACCACCGGAGGGGAACAGACAACACCG